GCGGCCAGCACGGCCCCGACGTGGCCCGCGGCCATGTCCACTCCCGCAGCCGGCGCCCCTTGGACGGCACCAGACCCCGCCTAGTGGTGAGCCGAGAGGGACAGGGCCCTACGCCACGGGGACAGGCGGCGCATGCGCAGCTCAGCTGCACCGGAGGGCAAGGCCGATCAGAGACCGTCCGGAGTAAGACGAAGCTTCTGGTTACAACTTATTTTATTTCTTTACAAATTAAAGATGCATTGAAAAATAAACCAATGAAGAGAAATGAGAGGTCCAGAGCAGGGGCATCCCAGGCTGGGAGCAGGCAAGCCTGGCCGCCGTCCATCCTAGCCCTTGTCCTGCCCCAGGCAGTTGGGTTGGTCAGTAACTGTCAGCCATTCAGTCCATACCAAAGCCCAAGTGTGTCCCGGAGGGAGAGAACAGGGCTCCAGCTGCCTCTGCCTCTGCCTCTCCCCAGCAACCCCCGGCTTGGAGAAGCGGTGTTTCCAGGGGGAGCTGTGTGGAGGTGGGCTGGCTCTGTGAGGTATTGCAAGTCGATGATCAGGCTCCCTACAAAACCATCCAGTGTCGGGGCCTCTCCAGCTGGAAAGGAGGCGGGGACCTCTCCCAGGTGTGTTAATACACTTTGCAACTTAGTTCCCAGGCTCATTCACGTCTCTGAGAACATGCCTCTATCCACGAAGTGATCAGCAATCATTGCAAGGGATAGCACACGCAGTGGGAGCAGAGAGAGAAAGCTAATTAACCACCCTCAGGAACTAACTTCGCTGCTGACCTCTGGCCTAGAAGGACTGACCACTTTTCTGTCTACCACCTATGGTCTGTATAGCAGCTCTTGTGCACCTGGACGTTTTATCCCTAATATAGGAAGTTGTCGACACTGAGCTGAATTAGCCACCCTCGGCAGTAACCGTGGGATCCCTACTACTTGCCTCTACCTGCTTCTCTTCTTGGAGGCTGGTCCAAAAGGACACATTGCCAGGGTCTGGGTGCCTCCAAACCCCCAACACCAAATCATACAGTGAACTGAGAAACTACATTCATTAGGACAGGATTAGCAGGAAAAGGAGAGTAGAGTGAGGGACAGGGCACCTTCCATCAGCAGGACATGACAGAGTGGTAGGATACTTGAGCCCAGAAAGAAGGTGTCTCCTTATATCTCCCCCTCCCCCAAAAGAGACTGAGGTCAGCTTACAATGACTTATAAGATATGGAACTGTCCCAATTTCTCTGCCATCCTGGGGTGCTTCCTGGAAGCTGGCTTGGGACCCTGTGCCATTTACCCACGTGCTTTAGCTCAGTAACTGCCGAATCTCCTTGTGCATATGACAGAGAAAGTCCACGTAGGATTCTCCCCCACTCAGGCTCTTGTCTTCCACTAGGAAGTTCTTGAACAGCACCTCCAGCTTGTCTTCCTGTTTCACCACGGTAAGCTATGGCCAGAAGGTGGGGTGGTAAGGCAGGGCCAAAGGAAATTAAGCACACCCAGAATCCCATGGCGTGTTCATGAGCTCATTCCCCACCCACCTCCTAGGTGAGAATTTGAAAGGTGAGAAATTTAGGGTTCAGATCAGTGTTACCTTCATATACCGTGATCTCTGTGCCCTTAAGCTATCAATGAGACCTCGAACCTTCTTGGACAGTGGATTATCCAGAACTGGCAGGACACTCTGGAACATAAAATTAATTCATCCTTAAAGTACTCCAAGTTCAGCCCAGAAGGGGCAGCACAGAGTTATGCATTACCAGAAACAAGCCTGGAAGAAGGATAGCACCCTCCCCTCTCCCTCCCCACAGTACTGTACTGTACTGCCTGATACATAAGGGGACCAGTTCCCGCTCACATCACAAACTACTTCCACATCCTTGACTCCAGCCCTCACCAAGCCACTGGCGATCTGACTGAAGGAGGCAACATTGAAAAGGCTCTGGACGACACCTTGTTGAACACTTGCTCCCACCCACAGGAAGAGGTTGAGCCCATTCTCCAGTAAATATATATCGCCGTTGCTTAGACGTTCTTCAGATGCTCGAACTGCTGGTGGTTCAGTGGTACTCTCAATGGGAGACTTTGTCTAGACAAACGCAGAGAGGCAAAAGGTCACCAAGAACCATAGACACACCTGCTCCCTTCCACATGCACATACATAGAACTTAGTAAGTTCCCAGATACCAGTTCAGGGGTCTCAGCAACTGTGTGAAATGAAACAAATTCACATATAGGATTAACTGCCTCCCTTCTCCTCCTAGAAGTTTTTTTCTCAAAGCAGTGTCTCATATTCCAACCCTCAGTCGCACCAGTGGTAGAAGCCGAGGGTAGAAGAAGACATTGGTCTCGGCCACATCCATGGAGGTAACCAGCTGTCGAACATAGGCACGGTCATCAGTAGTGACTTCAGCTCCAGGCTGCAGGACATCACTCTTCAGCACACAGTTCAGGTAAACTGGAAGGAGCTTCATGCACTCAGGAAGGATCAGCTGGGGGTTTTATCAATGTCAGTGACCATGAGAAATCTCTCCCATATGCAAAAACTCTGTCCCCCGACACCCCTCCACTAACTGCTTGCCATACCTGTCCTGCAGAAGAGGGGCTGGCACAGTTCTTTCTGTAACACGCCAGGATCTGGGCACACTGTGTGATGAGAGTGTCACGCACAGTCTTCACGGGGCTGTTCAGGACACCTCGGTATGCTGGATGGGGAAGGGAGGTAGCACCACTATCAGCCACCCATCACGTGTGTTCCCAGCATCACACCTACCCGGGAATGCTGAATCGCTGACCAGTTTGGACCATCTCTCAGCTCCAAACCCACCCTGGCCCGCCTCCACTCACCAAACTTGGCCATGTAGTTGATGAGTGTGTCAGTCTCACAGTTCCGATACAGATCAGCCAGCTGGGTGCAGCAGTTCAGGGCCAGGTTGTGGATGCGGAGCCGACGCTGCCCTGCACAGCTGGTATAAAGCAGGGCACACTAGGGGAGGGAGAAAGGGGGAGCTCACACCCCTCCCTCACAAAAATCCTGAGAAGCAGCTGCCCCTTTGCTATACTGATTTTTTTTTTTTTTTGTCTTTTTGAGACAGGGTTTCACTGTGCAGTTCAGGCTGGCCTTGAGCTCACTTATGTAGCCTAGGCTGGTCTTGAACTCACAACAATCCTCCTGCCTCAGCCTCCCAAGTGCTGGGATTACAGGCGTGCACCACCATGCCCAGCTTGCTATACTGTTAAACTGGAAGAAAGGCATGAGCCAGTCCTCCCCCAGCACTTCTTCCAGTCCTCTCTCCCCGCTCATCCTCTTCCTAGCACTTCCTGGCCAACCCCCTGCCTCCTCCCGCCTGCCACCTGCAGGAGGGCTCCACTCTCTTCATTAAGCCGATCATCATGCTTGAACTCCACAGTCACCGTCTTGTTCGCATCCAGCCCAGCCAGCTCCACATCTGTTGTGTTACTCATGTAGAAAGCGCCAAAAAAATCTACGGCACGGATACCTGAGGCCACAGGGACAGGGTCAGGGCTAGAGGCATGACAGGTGCCATGCGCCTTCCTCCAGGTTTGTCTGCCACCTGCTCTTTAACCAGACTTACCGGTGCTCGTGCGGACCCTCATCACAGCATCAAAGCCAACAACCTTCTGCACATCACGACGAAGGTCACTCAGGAACCGTTCCTGGTCGTTCTCCACCTGCAGTCCCCCAGGCCCAGAGTCACACCACTGAGCACAGAGCTCACTCTGCAGTCAGTCTCCCTGCCCCTTCGCTCCACAAGCCTCTTAATCATAATGACAGGAAGAGTGAATGGTGATAGTGATGACAGTGACAGCTTTTAAGCATCCGGTGTCATCAGGTGCCACACAGAACACTTTACATATAATTATTTAATTCCATACATAAATCTTATTAAGTATTAAAACCCCACTTTACAGATGAAAGGACAAAGGAAGAAATGATTGAGTAATTTAATCTAGGTCACAAAGCCAGCAAATGGTGGGGCCAAGACTGATTCCAAGACCCAGTCTTTCAACTGCCACATTCTCACGGTTCAGTTTGCACTCCTCCAGCACAATTCTTTTTTTTTTTAATTGTGGTTGTGGAGATAGATACCATGGTCTGGGCGCATGCTAGGCAAGCACTCTCACTGAGCTACACTTCTAGTCCTTTTTAAATTTTGAGACCGGCTCTCACTGAATTGCCCAGACTGGCCTCAAATCTGTGATCCTTCTGACTTAGCCTCCCACGTAGCTTGGATTAAGGGCATGAGTCACTATGCACTAGCAACACAATTCTTAATCATGCGTCAGTGGCTAAACAGCCACTGCACATGTAAGCAAGACCCTCCCAGCCCTGCCACCCAAAATCCCACATTGTACCTGAAAGCAAGCATATTTGTAGACAGAGCCACCAGTGAGTTGGGGCACAACTGAGAGTGTGGCCACATCCACATACTGGTTAGGGAAGAGGAAGAGGTCTACGCAGCAGCCTTGGGCCACACACTCTTTGGCCAGAGTCTGATACACACCCGTCTGAGGCTGGAACAGAGTCTGGGGAGGAGCAGAAGAAATACTTGAATATCTCAGCTCTGTGCTCTTTCAAAACTATGTGTGTGATAATGTAATATGGGGTACTCAAATACTTCTAAGACTTCAGATCTACTAAGCTAGGAGTTCATAATAGTAGTAAAAATTGCTCTTTAAAAAAAAAAAAAGTCCACCAAGGGCTTTGGGCTGAAATGGGGTAGATGGTGAGGAGCAGGCTGGCAGTCACGGATGTGACACAAGGTAGGGTAGAACACAGTCCCTTGAAAAAGTTCCGAGTGGACACCGGAAAGTGCCCCCAGCCGCCTCTGTAATGTAGAAGTCCTCCACCACCTTCCAGCCCCACACCTTCTCTTTGTCTGTGTTGATCAGCTTCCTGTCATCTCTGTTCTTCAGCTTCCCTGGGGCCTCTGCAATGGGCAAGGACGTGTGGAACAGAAACAGCTTCCCTGCACACTCGGCAGCCTAGGAAAGAAGACAGCACTACTCGTTCATTCTTTCCTTTGTTCACCCATTATTCATTCGTCACTTCCCGCATCACTTAAGTACCAAGTGTTATACAAGCTGACTTAGACAGCCACCAAGGACTGAAGAAAACAGATGGAGTATTCCAGGGGGCCGAAGAGAGTCAGAGGAAATCGAAACACAGGAAGTTGTCAGGTATTCTAGCCTTACCTTCAGGGCCTCCATCCCAGCCTGGATAACTGGTGCAAATACTGTCTCTGTTTCCCTTGTGTCTGCAAATATTTCTGGAATCTGATCCAGCAGGCTGAAGAGATAGGTGACAAGAGACTATCAGAATTTCTACCCAGCTTCCTATGCCTCATTCTCAATTCCCCTAAGTCACCTGGCCCCCAGACTGTGAAAACACCTGAGCTAAAGCCCCTGCCTCAAGACAGACTCCTCTGTTCAACTACCTGGCTCTCTTTTTTTTTTTTCTCTAATTTAGAGATAGGGTCCCACTATGAAGTTATGGCTGGCCTTGAAATATGTAGCTGAGGTTGGCCTTGAACTCGCAGTGATCCTCCTGCCTCTGCCTCTCCTGGTCACTTTTTTGTTTCATTTTGCTTCTGGTTTTTTGCAGTGCTAGGGATTAACCCAGGATCTCCACTATGCTAGGTAAGTGTTCCACTACTGAGCTACATCCCTAACCCTTTTTTTCTATTTTGAGAAAGTCTCACTAAATTATGTAGGCTGGACTTATTAACTTGCAATCCTCCTGCCCCAGTCTCCCAAATACCTGAGAATACAGGAATGTACTACCTTGCCTGGCTCCCTGCCCTTCTGTGTACCCTCTCCACTCCCCTCCACCCCCACAGTCTGGCTCTTACCTGGTGATGACTGCCCGAGACTCATTGACATTGACCAGGAAGCCATCCAGCAGTGGCACAAACATGTCAGCCACATCAGATACAACCATCATCTGAGGCTGGGCCAGTGAGCTCTTCACATTGTAAAAGTGAAGCACCTTATTGTAGGTGACAAAGCCAACGTGGATTGCTGATTCTTCTGCCCCACCTTCCCTGTAAAGGATGACATAATTACTTGGATTTGCCACTTTCTCCACCAATCACAACTTCATGACATTGAGCTTTGCCTGCCCCGTCAACCCAGACACCCCACTATTAGCCAAAGGAAGCACCTCAGCTCCACAGCTCTCACCTAGGTAGGTAGTCTAACAATGACTTAAGCTCCTCACAGAGGAGCCTAACGAGACCAGTTCTGATGGCATTGTATGAGACGTCAATCATGAAGATGAAGGCAGGAGGGCTGGGGAATTTATTGTTCTGCAGAAGAAGGAAATGTTGGGAAGAAAGGGGCCCGTTGACCAGAAAGTAGCCAGTATCAAAGGGACCCTCTTTGATACTGGAAAGGGTGAGAGAAATGACAACAGCAATCCTTAGCTGTTCCATTATCCTCTACCCACAGCTCCACCCCCTCTACCTTCCCTCACCTTGCAGTAATCTACAGTGGCCAAGAATTCATAAGAGCCCAGGGATAGCTCAGGACGGTCATAAGCATCCACACGTCTGCCGGTGTGATCCAGATGTTGGAAATACTGGGGGGGAACTGTCAGGAGTATGAAGAACGTTATTTACAGAGTCCATGCTCAATCTTAGTACAACTGGCCCTAGCTGAGCTGCCCCACATCACTCCACTGGTCCACATTCTCATATGTGCCCTGTTTCTAGCTCCTGAAAAATGGACCCTCATCTAACTAAAAAGGAGAACAATCAAGATGTCACCAGGACATTATCCCAAAATCCCAGCCTCCAGAGCCATACCGTCATTGATACAACTGCAAAAGCAGCACTGAAAACGCCTCCCTCCCTCGATGAACTGCATGAAAGGGCACATGTATGCTTTGCAGCGATTGCAGCGCAAGGGGCCAGATTCCCCGTGGTCCACGACATACGGTGAAGCCTAAGGAGCAAAGGGGAGACAGTGGTTGAGACATATGGTAAAAGGTGAGAAGGAACTACCTGGAGGGAAAAAGTGCATGTGGAAAGGATAAGCACATAGGATGAGGGTAGTGATCACAGAAAAATGAAGGTGTCTACATTCCACCATTCATTCCTTCTTTTTACTCTCATTCCAGACTGCATTTCTTCTTGGAAGAAGGGCTGTGACAGTGGCCATAGCAAGCCAGGGGCTGTCATGGGTGTACAAGGGGGAAGCCACAGATTATCCAGAATTCTTGTTTCTGGCCTTAATTTTAGTCCCTTCCACTCCTGCCCTAAGAATTTTGACCCCTGCTTCCTTCCTTGACACTTTTCCCCCTCACCCAGAGTAGAATTCTGTGTCACCCAATTAATGATCCAGGTAGATGCCACCCTATAGATATGAGAACAGCACCCAAGCATCCCCACTGGGAACCGGAAAGAAAGAAGAAAAATACACAGAGGGAGATGGAAAGAAGCAGAATATAAACAGCGCCTTGAAAAAATAAAAATAAAAAAATAAACAGCGCCTTGAGCTTCCAGGTCCAGAGAACTCTTATTTTAATTTAGATCAGTGAGGCATAAATATGAGGGTAAGCTGTCAAGGCCTGAAAAAAGCTACCTTCTTCTTTTTTCCACATCGGTTTCAGGGACTGGAGTGACAGATCAGGGCCCAAACCAGGTGAGGGATATAGTATTGGATCCTAAGATACTTTTCCTCTTACATGCTGTCCTAACATCCCTAACCAACTGGGGTGACAGGACAGCATATAAAGAAAAAAACAGAAAGCGTATTTTGTGGAGATGATTATGCAATGAGAAGTTCCTACATCCAGCTGTCTTCACCAGCTCCTCCTACGAACCCTGCTTCCACACTGCAATTTCTTGGGCTTTTGCTGTCATCCCTACTATTCTTCCAACCATGCACCGCGGAAAGGAAAGCTACTGAAGACACTATCCTGTCCTGTCCAATCAAGACGCCTTCCATCATGCCAACCAGGATCATACATGTAGGAAAAGCCCTGATTCCCACTCCACCCCTTTTCATTATATTCTAGCCCCTTCTCTGACTTACCTCCTCTGGGGGCAGCCTTGCCAGGGGCTTGATGACAGCTGCCAGGGGCACCTGAGCCTGCTTAGCCATGTCAGATGTGCAAGGGATATTATAGGATGTGCATCGGATGTATCGGGGACTTGCATTCCCTGAAGAAAGAGGTAGAAGTCCTGGGTCAGATCACAGATTCCTGCAGATAGCAGTCCTTCATCAGAGATTTATCCCATCACCTTCACAAGTACTTGAGTTGATGGTACCTTTCCCCAAATAATGACTGGTCTCTGGTTAAAGACTGCGAAAAGCTCTACACAAAAGCTAAAAACCTGGAGTAAAGGCCCCGTAGGGAGGATGTGTGCCCTTCTCACCTTGGTCTTTCACCAGGAAGTTAGTGGTGACTAAGGGTGGCACCTGGCCCCGTACACCAGTAACAAATGGCTCTGAACCCCGGGTGTTCCTGTCATCTTCAATGACCTGAATCTGCAGGGAAAAAGTCAAATGAATGAGATGATAGAAGACAAGGATGTGACAGGTCCCACAGTACCAGGAAAAAGGAAGACTAGAGCTGCAGCAGCACAGAAACTTTACAATTTGCCAAAGAACACCTCATGCGTCAGACCTGCTCTCCTGCCACACTCCAGCCAGCAGCAGGGTGCTGGACAGGCCACACTGAGAATGGCTTCCTGATGAACTGTTCCCTAATCCCCAGCCAAAGATGAGCACCACCTCATTCCTCCCACTCCAGGAAAGCTCCAGCTCTGATCCAGACCGTTAGACACATGTAGAGTCCACATCTCTCCCCATGGAACCTTCCCACCTCCTCCTCCGAAGACACACTGAGTCAGAGCAGGAAAACAGACAACGGTAACCACATAAAAATGATTCTACCTGGAATGACTCTATACGCAATGAAATTAAAAAGGGACAGGGCAAAGAGAGAATTAAACAGCCAGAAATGATCAGGTAAGGTGAGGAAGCAGATGCTACCTTCCTTTGAGGCAAGCATATACAGTGTGCATATACAGAAGTTAAGTATCCATTCTCATAGCCCAATCCTCAGCCCCACATTTGACAGACACAGTGAAAATTAGAGAAAAAAAAAAGGATATGCAAAGCTGGTGATCAAACCTTTGTGCAGGCTGGTGACTTTTGGTCAGTTACTTCAAGATGAGTTTGATAAAACAAAAACAGTGAAGGCCAAATAACTAACCAGCAGCAAAAAGGGTTGAAGCTTAGGAAGATATCAAAGACTCTCCTGATGAGAAAGTGGCCCATTCTTCCCCAAACCAGCAATCCCCTCCTCTGTAAGAAATGCCAGTTTGGGATAGCAGGAACCTGTACATTAGTAGCCACCTACACAAATGTTTCTCTACAACAGACTGCAGACAAACCAAACCCAAAGGAAAAAGATCTACTCCTCGACTTTGTCCTGTTCCACCACATGTAACAGACAGGTTCCTGGAGGAGGCGGCAGGACTAAAACTGAAACTGAACATGCCATCTGGCCACGCCCTGAGAGCCTGCCCCTCTGCCATCCCATACTCAAGGCACTGCTAACAGCTTGCTACCTCTTCATTCCATGGTGACTTGAAGCATGCATATCCTTCAGCTTGGAAAAGTGAGATCTAGAGGGCTAAGGGAGAGAATGGAGAGGGATGGACATGGTGGATGAGGCGGAGATGAGGTCAGAGGCATGCATGGACGGCACTAACACAGGGGTGACACGCGCACACACACCCGCCCCCTGCACTTACTGGACTAGGAATGGCATCAGGGTCTATTCTGTGCCTGGTTTTCTGCTGAGGAGGCAGCTCATTGAGTTGCTTTTAGTGTTTTAATTTTAAAGGCAGCAGAGGGGAGACAAAAGAACAAGAGGCAGATGTTACTTCTCTCAACCCTGATCAGTTAGATATGAACGGCTGGAGCCCAGCTCAGACTGCTGAAATCAGGCCCTCTTTACATCTGAAATTCCAAACCTCAGTTGCTCAGAATATGATGTAACAAGATGAGGAGAGGGAGCAAACAGGAGGCAAGCAGGGCTTTATAGGAGATGCTGAATGGGAGAAACCTTAAGAAGAGGAACGTTCCCTCCAAAGGCCAAACCTCCCATCTAAAATCTCTTCTTATGTGGGAAGAAGCCTCTCTCACATCCAACCACTCGCCCCAGTATAAAGAAGTGGAAAGAAAAGAGGGGCTGCTCCATCATTACGGGTCCCCCTTAGCCAAAAGGCTCCCTCACCTTGGTGGGTCCCCAGAGGAAGAGAACAGAATGAAATATGGCAATGGCTAAGCACGGTGGGTAACTGACACAGCAATGTTATAGACAGGACTATAAAGTGGCCCCTGCACAGGACTATAGTACAGTCCCAACCTCTATCCCAAGTCTGCTACGGAGGACCTGAGGCTAGTGAGGTTCACCCTCTTCCTCGGAGGAGCTTCCCTGTGCCCATGGACCCTTACACGCGCGCGCGCGCACACACACACACACTCACCCTTATACTCTGTGGTTCACTCTTCCTATTCACACTGCAGAGGCTACCAACCAAAAGCACTGGGCACTTCCCTCTCTAGAACTATCCAAGTAGGAGCAGAGGAAGACCAGTGAAGCTGCCCTTCCCTGACACCTAACACCAAAGAATGTGAAACTACTAGGTCCAAGAGGACATGACCCAGCCATGACTCCACTGAAGGGCACAGATGATCATGCCGTGATACCCAATAGCAACAGAACACAGCCTCCACCCAGAGCTCTACTAACACTGCTGATCTCTCTTGGTTTCCCTTCCTTCTCTGTGCTGCTGTGGGAAGAAACTGCCTAAGAAAAAAAAGAATTCTGGAACTGAAAATTGAAGACTTAAAAATTCTAGATTTTAGGCTACAAGATGAATGAATACGAAAAATTATCAGAACATGCCAGGCAAACATCTCATCTAGGTCTACCAGCTTACCTAGTAGACACGAACCCCTTTCCCAGGACCACATAAGCATCTACTTACAGGGCTGGGGATGGCATCGGGGTCCAGGCGCTTAGGAGGCAGTGGCTGAGGAGGCGCCGGCTGACTGCCAAAGGTGGGTGCTCCAGGGTAGGGGCTTCCATAATTGGGCTGAGGGCCCCGGCCTGGTCCAAAGGAACCTGAGAGAAAAGGGCACAAGTTGATGAATTCCAAATCCCCTGCCTAGGGATTGTTTTCTGGCCTAGGGAAATGTCTAGAATCCTACAAACAGAATTATGAGGAACATTGGTGCCTTGTGAAATCAGTCCTTCACAGAGACCGCTATCTGAACTATGTGAAAAAAAGAATGTCTTGTCAACCTTACAACCAAGGAATGATGCCCTCAAGCTATCCATCTAGACCTTGGGAAAAACTCACCATTTTGTTGCAGCTGGTAGCCCGGCTGCGGGAGGGAGTGCATAGGTGGTGGTGGTCCTTGGGGCCCAGTCATCTGGGTGCCTGGGGGCAGAGCTTGAGGAGGAGGTGAGGACACATGGTTGGGCTGGCTCATGGGGGGAGCCCCAAAACCCTGTCCAGGTGGGAGTGAACCAGTCATCGAAGGCATCCGAGGACCCCCTGAAGTTGGGGGTATGAAGCTGGAGGCCAGTGGGGGCGCAGAGCGCTGGGAAGGGTGAACCCCAGGATGACCTTGGGCCTGGCTAACAGGAGGAGCCTGGCCCTGAGGATAGGAGCCATATGGACCAGAGTTAGGGAAACTTCCTGAGGCTGAGGCCAGCGATGTTGGTGGTCCTGAGGAACAGAAAAGGTAGAGTCAGATGTCATTCTCCTTCCTTCAGCAAATCCCTCCCCACAAAAGGGGGGCAAGTATGCCTGCCCCATCTTCTGGGGCTTAGAGGCACAGGAAATAAAAGGGATTCTGTTGTACCCCCAGAGCCTCAGGCCTCTGCAAAGAAGGGCACAGTAATATTCCTGTGGTCATCACTACTTACCATAGCCCAGCCCTGACGGGGGAGGGGCTGGGGCCATAGCACCACTGATCTGCATTCCGGCCAGCTGCGCGGTCACCTGTGCACTTGTCGGGGGAGGGCCATAGGGCTGAAGCACAGCTGGCTGGCTGACCGCAGGGGCCAATGGGGATCCAAATGGCTGAGACCCAGGGAGCCTATAAAGAGAAGGAAAGCAGAGGTGCCTGGTGGGCTGGGCTACCCTGTGAAGATATCAGTGAGGTCACATCCGGCTGGAAGGTATGTTGCTGTTCGGCACCTTACCTCATCCTGAGCTCTTTTATGGTTTCAGATTCATATATTTGTGGGTCGATTACACTTTTGATGATCTACACTTTAATTATTTGTGGCAAATCTTATTTTCTACTAGATGCATTCCACAAACATATGGCAAGCACCCTCAAGTCAAATACTATTTAATTACTAATTAAATTATTTCCTCTTCTACCCAATCCTTTATTGACAAACTACCTTGATTTTGGGGGTTTTTTTTTGTTTTTTTTGTTTTTCTTTTTTTTTTGTCTTT